GCAACCCTGCCAGTTCTCCCCTGGACACGGCTGGCTCAGGGAGCTGCTGAAGGAGCAAGGGCATACGCTCGCCTAGAGAAGGCTGGGGCTGTGCCTGACGTCTCCTGTCCGTGTCGCAGCTTCAGCCTGAAGAAATGTCTCTTCAGGGTGAAGACATGTGCCTGCCCCTCTAGCTAGGCAGAGGGCCGTATGCCACCTGGAGGGGACTAAATAGCAGAACCTGGCTCCTCATTTTTTCCCTTTCTATCATTGTCTTTCCTGCATTTCCTCCCCTCTCCCTCTGGAATACAAAAATTCACCCAGTGTGTTTTCCTGGCTTGTTTCCTTCGCAGCCTACCTCTGAGGTTTTGGGTCAACATCCTGAAGAACCCCCAGTTCGTCTTCGACATTGACAAGACAGACCACATCGATGCCTGTCTCTCTGTGATAGCCCAGGCCTTCATTGACGCCTGCTCCCTGTCTGACCTGCAGCTGGGCAAGGTACCGTCCAGAGAGGGCGTCTTGCTCCTGCTTGGGCAGTCATAGACACAGATCCGTACGGGTGGGAAGGGACTGCCAGAGGTCACCCAGCCCAACCTCCCCCAGGAGCCGCTTGCTCAGGTTCATGCCGTTGAGTTTTGGTGGTCTCCAAGGATGAGTTCTCACCCTCCCTTTCCCACTACTTTGTTCGGGCTTGAGCTTGAAATTTGCACCCCCCCTCTGTCACAAAGAGCAGTCAGGGAGTGGGGACACGGGGTCAGAGGTGGGTGGACAAAGGGCAAGGCCCCAGCCCGGGAGGCTCGGAGGATGGAGCAAGACCCAGCCGCTGGCTCGTGTGCTCGTTGTTACCTCGTGGCCGTATGAGTTGTCCCGCGGTTGCAGGAGAGGGCCCAGCTTACTCAGCACGGCATCTGTAGTGCTTCCTGACGGGGCTGAGCCGGTGCAGGAGCAGACGAATATTCCCTGTGGTTGGCTCGGGCAGGGGTGTGACATGCCAGGGCGAGCACGGGTGGGTGTCAGCTCTGCGCTGGGCACAGGAGCCCAGCTCCCTCAGTCAGGGCTGGTTTAGGGGGCAGCATTAGCATAGTGATCCTGTAACAGCAGCTGGGGGACAATGTGAACTCCCAGCGGCAGGATGGAAAATGGCAAAGCTTCAGGCGAAGCTTTAATGGTCGCAGCCAGTGGTTTCTGCCCAGCTCTCACCTGGGAGAGCCGTGAGAAGCTCAGGACACGAGCTGAGCCTTCGCGAACGTGGGCTGCGCCTGCCCGGGCAGCACAGACCCAGCCTGGCTCACGCAGAGGTGTGGGGCTGCCCGGGGCCACCCGTGGACACCATCCATCAGCTCCTGGGAAGCACTTGGCGGGCACTGGCGGCGC